AAAGCTAAAATCAGACTAAGGCCACCCTCAGTTGCTTGTAAATTATTTTATAAAGTCAGCTTTCTCGTTGGATATCGTAAGCTAGTTTCTGCTACTTCCTGGAAGTTGATGGAGTGCAGGTTCAACCTCCCAGATTGCAGCCAAAAGGGGGAAGCTAATGAAGTGGATGAGTACTACCATTATTTCTTTTGATCATTGCTTTTTTCTTCTGACGCCCAATTTCGCCACCCGCCTAGTTATTTTTAGTTAATGTCAATCTAACTTGTTTATATGAAAAAATTAGTCTTGTTTCAACCCCTAGTACGTACAGGGCTAGATATTATAGGTATTAGTATGTGTAGTTTGTATAGCCACGTAATATAGACGTTCTCTCCCTTTCCAAGGAATTAGATTGCATTAATTGAACTACTCAGGTAACACGAACCACCCAAAGAGCTAACCAGTGCTCAACTGTACCTCAGATACTGGCCCCCCATGCAATAATTACATTCGAGTAAAGTTACGATTCAATAAAATATTAGATTAGATAGTAGAGGCACCTAAAGGCTGGCTTTCGACTGAAAGATGTCAGATGTCAATCTTGCTGAAGTGCCCATCAGTAAGTAGAGGACCGCTCCGGTGGAGCGGGGGTGGATGCACAGAGTAACCGTGTGAGGAATATTTCATCTCAGGGCACTCAACCCGGGATGGAGCATGGGGGCAAATACTGGCAAATACTTGCAGTATAAAATTTTGATATGGTTTCACCCTTTAGAGCCTGAAAAATCCTGTAGCAATTGTAAATAATGTCAGATGTCTACCAGTGACGATAACAGTGTTCCATCTAGATGAAATTGTTACCTTCCATTTAGTATATTGTGTAGGAATCCTTTGAGTGATATCTGATTCCATAATGAATGTTTGGAATACAAACTTAGTAGAGAAGTGATTTATTATTATTCAGTGTTCAAATAAACGTATTTGTTTCGGAAGACTTTTTATTTCATGTTATTCAATGTTTATACAAAAGTAGCTGTTTCAGGAAGGTTTTTTCTTCCAGTTTGTGTCTGAAAGTTACATCTTTACATTATCTACACGTCTATGTATAGAGTTATCTCTTTTGAAATTGACTGCTTCCTTCTTTCCTTTGGAGGAATCCCACATTTTTTCTATCAAGATCTATCTTGAAAATACAGGGTCTTTCACGACGAGCGTTCGTTAGGAATATATGGAGAACAATTCAAAATAAAAACTTGAAATTTTGTGGTAGTGGGTTTCACAAAATGGCCTTGTCAACTAAATTATTTTCAACTTCCGGTCTTTTTCCATTATACCGGAAGTTGAGGGCAACTTCCTTATTTCAAATGGATCACCCTGTATTTTATTACATTTTTGAATTTCTCAGCACGTTTTAGGCCCACTTTGTATAACAATGCCTATGCCCAAATTTGTTAGTTTTCGAGATATTGATTTTTTTCTGAAAAATTTGACAGTTATAGCACCACTCCGAAAAAATCATAACTCATAGGCAGTAACATTCAAAAATGTGAAATTTCACAGAATCACACATTCAGCATCAAGTCATGAACAGGTTCATCGAATTTTCGAAAATAATTTACAGGGTGGTCGAAATTTACACCTAAAACATAACATCGAGAAAACTGATGAAACACGATTTTTTCAAATAGAAACCATACACTATTTTATCATTTTTGGATACTACGAAAAAAAAATGAAATTCCCCTGGCAAGATATATCCGATTTTGGGAAATATTTGAAATGTAAATCATTCGAAGCAATACCAAAATTTACCCGTTGCTAAAAATTATACAAGCCGTAGTCAATGTTATTCAAAAAACAGTATTTTCCGGACGTAAATTACTATTCTTCATATTCTGATGGAGTTTGTTCTGGATTTATAACTATTTTGCGCGTCTAGAAATATTCAAGAGTAGTACCGCTCAAACCACGCCTCTGAAAATTTCTGAATACTGTTCCGATGTCTTTGTGCCTCGTTGTTTATTCCCAGGCGACGTATTTGTCAACTGATAAACAAAGAATTGGTATCATTCAAACATAAAGAGGACACTATCTCGGGTACACAAAAAGGTGTGTGTTCAAGCTGAATAGAGAGTGAGAAGAGGACAAGCAACGATTATTTTTGTTACTGATCAAATACGGAAACACTTATCAGTAGTAAGTGATAAAGTATTTTGTATTATTTACACAGGTTTGATAGTTTACCATAATGCTTGACAAACATTTCGGGAGGTGTGAGTCTTGATCTGAAACAAAAACAAGCTTTTATCATTGCCAGCTTTATGTCCTTTCCATAAAGATCCCAGATGTCCCAGATCATGAATGAAATCATGATAATTTTCACAAATATTTTTATTTCTAGATGTGTTTCGCTAATACCGTAGCTCCCTCGGTAGAAATGAATATCAAACCGGGCTACAATTCTTACAAAAGTGGTCCCAGAAGTAAACGGCCCAACAAAAAAACAACAATTTTGGAAAAAATTCATTTATTTTTCAACATAACTCCATGCAGCTTTATACACTTTTATCAGCAACGTTCAATAAGTTCGATACCGAAACTTCAAGTAGTAGTTTTTTGGTATAGTTATCTCCAATATATAAATTATTATCCATTAAAAAACTTTGTATTTCATCCTTCCTCGAATTTTTATTCGGTACTTTGATGAGCTGTCGCGAATGATAGGAAGCGTTGTCAAGAACTATTACACTATTCGCTTCCAAATTTGGGATCGATGTGTTTTCAAACCATTCCTCAAAAATATTAGCTT